AGTTAGAATAAACTTGTAGATAGTCACTGGTTTGTTTCTATGTTTTGGTTTTTCAATGAGAGTGAGTTTGGTTAAAAAAACACTCTGGTTTGCTTTTCCTTTTTAAGTGGAAATAAAATAAAATAATGCACTACTGCTTCCTCATGAATTTGTATCTTTGTATTCCCAGTTCCTGTTTTCACATTTTAGAAGAGGACTTCCCTGTGTCCCAGGAATTTTCTTGGGATGGAAAGAGCTGTTTCCTGCCTGGTCAGTACATGGGTTTGGAGAACCTCAAGCCAAAAAATCCTAGACACACCAAAGTCATCCGGAGCTTTCTGATGGTGCTAGTGTTACTGTGACTCTCATCTCCTCCAGACCAAGTGTCTTTGTGGTTGGGAAATTGCAGCCTTGCTCTAAGATCTGTGCTGCCCAGCCTGGTTCCACATGGGAAGTGGTTTTGCCCACAGTGCCCAAAGCAGACCAGTGTGGTTTCCCAGGGAAGACTGGGATCCTCAGCAAAGGCTCCTGGACACGAGCCTCAGGCCAAAGGGGTTTTGCTCAGCAGAGCTGCATCTTCTGTGGGCATCTGGGCAGGGGATGGAAAGTGTGGGCACCCTGCAGCCCCTTGATTCACCAGCATGAACCCATCACACCACCTTGCAATTACACAGCAATGCTATTCATGAGCTTCAGGGGTGAACAGTCCTTGACACTGCACAGGGGGGAACAGAGTTCCTACAGATAGAGAACTAACCAGCTGAGCAATTGCATGTGCTGGGACAGACCTGGAACTTCCACGCTGTTCTGGATGGCTGGGATGGGTCTCGCTCGTGTTCTCACCTCCTGTTTGAGGGGAGAAAGATTTCACTGCCTTCAGTAGGGCAGACTCAGAGCATCTCATCTCTGTGGCCATTGCAGCAGCTCCTCAGCCACCCCCTACAACCAGAACTGAGGAGAGAAGAAGTGTCTCAGGCAAAAAAAAAAAAAAAAAAAGAAGAAAAAAAAAAAAAGAAGAAAAAAGAAAAAATTAAAAAAACCCCAAACAAAATACTCCCATGTCTCAGACTCAGAGAGCAAACTTTGGGAAGCACAAACTTGGATTCATGTCTGATAAACTGAGCAACTCCCTTTGGACAGGAGGAAAGCAAATCAGATACTTCAGAATTGATGCCAACAAGCTCCTGACAATGGAAATGAACACATTCCCATTAAGCTGCATGGAGGTACTCTGGATTTCCCCTGCTGTGATTCTGGACCTGGGCCTACCTCCAAGAGAAGGGAGAAGACCTGTTTGTCCACTCAGACAAGTTCATACTTTGTTTCACTGTGCCCAGGAGCAAAACCCAAATTGATCTGCATTTGTGTGCTGTTAGTGATGGAAGGACAATGACAGACAAAAAGCCCTCCAAAAGTACAAACTATTCTGCAGCATCATCTTTTGGTGCTCCACAGCACCTGGAAGAGTAAAATGTCAGCTGCCTCCAAGGGAAGCTGGGAAATGCATCCTCCTGCGGGGTCAACTGCTGCCCTCAAACCCTGCCTCTTCCCACCTCCCTGAGGAGCACTGCTCACACCCACCCCAGCCTGGATGGGATTTTTAAGGACACACATCTCCAGGATGTGGGATTGTCCAGGGACAGTCGGTACCAAACCCGGGGATGATGTGTGCAGGGTGTTGGGGTGGTGTCAGTGCATCCAGTGGGACCCAGGCAGGGACAGAGCCTCTGTGCTGGGGCACTCGTGGGACCACAGCCCACACTCCTGGGATCAGTCCTGGGCCCCTCCTGACAGGAAAGACATTGAGGGGCTGGAGCATGTCCAGGGAAGGGAACAGAGCTGGGGAAGGGTCTGAAGCACCAGGAGGGGCTGAGGGAGCTGGGAAGGGGCTCAGCCTGGAGAAAAGGAGGCTCAGGGGGACCTTGTGACTCTGCACAGCTCCTGACAGGAGGGGACAGCCGGGGGGGTCGGGCTCTGCTCCCAGGGAACAAAGGACAAGAGGAGACAAGAGGAGGCCTCAAGTTGCAGCAAGGGAGTTTCAGATTGGATATTGGAAAAATTTCCTCCTGGAAAGAGTGGTCAGGCACTGGCACAGGCTGCCCAGGGGAGTAGTGGAGTCACCACCCTTGGAGAGATTGAAAAGCCGTGTGGATGTGGCATATGGGAGCATGGGTTAGTGGCAGCTTTGGCAGTGCTGGATTTAATGGTTGGACTCATGATCTTAGAGCCATTGTCCAACCTGGATGAGTCCCTGATTCCATGATAGCAGTGCAGAGGGGTTAGCCAGAACTGAAGGTGCTCACCTGGGTTCAGGTGGGTATATGGCACAAAGGTGGGGTGCACGTACAGGTACAGGTGTGTCTGTGTCTGGATAGTGGCAGTGCCCATGTCTGGCAGGGTTGGGGACACAGGGACTGCAGGGACAGTGGTGTCTGTGCCAGGTGACACAGCTCTGTGCAGGTACAGTGTCCCAGCCCTCCAGGATTCTCTCCTGCTTTGCTCATTAAATACTGGAGAAAAGAGATGCTACAAGCTTCCATGGCAGGAGACAGCAGGGCTGGGCTCATGTGCTTTGGGGATTCTCCTCCCCAGCCTGTGCCATGGTGCACATGCCAGAGCGAGTGCCAGGTCCCCGTGGAGAAAACCCTTTCACCGACCCTCTGCACCAGTGCAAGGAGACCCACAGGGCTGACTTTGAATCCTGGTGCTGCCAGGGCTTAGCGCCCCTCACCCAACACCTTGTCACACCACCTCAAAGAGCCACCATGGCTCCCAAAGCCCCAGCACCAAGATGGCAGCCTTAAAAACTGCCCCAACAGAGCCTGCTGCCTTGTCCTTGACTGTGGGGAAGGGCAGGAGAGTGTCTGAAGGCTCAGCAACCTGTTCAGAAAGAAAACATTGGTATGTGACCATGAAACCATCAAGGGAGAGAAGGAGAATAGGAAAAGAGACAACCACCTTGCAAGTGCCATTCTTCAAGGAATGCTGTACAGTAGGGGCCACAAAGAGGATGAAGGGTCAGGAGCACCTCCTTATGAGGAGAGACTGAGGGGGCTGGACCTGGTTAGTCTGGAGAAGAGAAGACTGAGAGGGGATCCCATCAATCCATAAAAATATCTCCAAGGCAGGTGCCAAGAAGATGGTGCCAGAGTTTTTTTAGTGGAGCTCAGCAACAGGAGAAGGAATAATGACCATAAACAAAAACACATGAAGTTCCACCTCAACAGTAGGAAGAAGTTCTTTCCAAGGAGGGTGGCAGAACACTGGAACAGCTGCCCAGGGAGGGTGTGGAGTTTCCCCTCTCTCAAGACATTCAAAACCCACCTGGACACATTCCTGTGTCACCTGCTCCAAGTGACCCTGCCTGGGCAGGGGTTTGGACTGCATGATCTCCAGAGGTCCCTCCCAACCCCAAATCTTGTGTCATTCTGTGAGGAGTGTGTTGCATCAGGACATCACACATCCCAAGTCCCTGGCTGTGGGGCTTCCCACAAAAAAGCTGCACAACTCCTGCTCTTCCCACTTTGCATCGAACTCTGCTCCTACCAGGCCCCAGCTCCTTCTCTCTTCCTCTCTCCAGCAAGGGGAGGAGGTCCCACACTGTTCCCTGCAGCCAAGTGATCAAAGCTGCTGCATGGCCAGAGCAGCTCCTGCAGAAAAGCTCTGCAGGGCCAGCAAGGCCCTTGCACAGGCAGAGCTCTGCACAGGGGGTGGGCAGCAGCTCCAGCTGCAGACATTGTCCCAGGAGCAGCACCTGGCTTTGGGTCATGGCTCCGTCTCTCTTGATGGAACTGGACTTCTAGAAGGGAGAACAAATTCTTAAAGAAAAGTGAGGACTTTTTCCTTTCTGGGGTCAAATAAAAGGGCATAAGGAGTTGCGCGGCTCCATGCTGAGGAGCATCAGGGACACAGATGTAGCTTTCTGTACATAGCCCTGATCTAACACTGAATTCACTCTGTGACTTTCAAAAAGGCACTTAGTTTTCCACCAGCTGTGCCTTTCCTCTGCCTTGCCTCAGGCTCTGAGCATCAGTAGGTGACACATGTAAAGGGAAGGGCTACCCTGCAGCTCCTGCCAATTTGGGATGTCAGTGCCTATGGATGCCCAATAATGACAAACACCATGGGAACCTCTGCACTCACCAACCCACTTCTTCCTTGACCTGGGAGAGTGGGGTTGGTTTTAACTCGAGGCAGAAGACAAGCAAAGGAGAGAGGAGATGGGAGAAGTGTCTTTTAAGAAGTTCCTTTGTCGCTCGCCTCCACGTCCCATGGCGGTGCCTGCACTGACGTCAGTGTGGTGCTGGTTGATTGGCACCAGCTGAGGGGCTGGCACAGGATCCTCCCCTCCACAGTGGCTCTGACGTGGGGCAGGAAGGGGTCGTGCTGGGATGTATTCCTGCCTGTGCCACACTGGTGCCTGCAAGGCGAGGAATGAGGAACCTCTGTGCAGTGACAGCCAACCCTCATGGCTGCCCACAGAGCCCCTCCTGCACCCTGGCACCCAGTGACAGGGGCTGCTGCCCAGCCCTGATCCCTCCGTGCCAGGGGAAGGACAGTGAGGTGGCTGCTGCAGGAGCATCAGCATCAGAAGCCTCACCTTGCCAAAGGGTGCCAGACTGGCACCTTCCTCACAGAGTTTGCGCCAGCTGTGACACAGCTGTGAGCTCTCGCCACCATCCCTGCTCCTCTCCAGGTGTTCTTCCATCAGTGGAGGCTGCAGGACCTGACTTAGGCATCCAGCCCTACAGCTCTGGGGTTTCACCAGCCCATGGAGGTGATGCCTTGGCATGCCCAACCTTATCTTGCTGCCTTACAGAGCAATGAATCCCAGAAGAGCATTTTTGACTAGTGCTTTGCTCCCACACGTGTGATTTGTGTGTTAATGTAACGCTGCACAGCGTGAGAAGCACCCCACTAAACACTCCTGGGAAAGAGAAGCCCAGCCCTTGGAATCAGAGCTGGATTGAGAGATGGATGATGGAATGCTACGCACCCAGCCACAAGAAGGACAAGTGCTATGCAGTCAGCAGCAGCCTTTTTTACTATGGACCACAGGAGATCAGAAAAGTAACCTTGTTAACAGGAGACCTAGTGGCTAACAAAATGTCATGCTGTAGGACGGACTAGAGAAGCACAATCACCAGAACAAAACGGCACCCAGGGGGACAGGGAAGCCCAGGGGTTTGCAGGAGATGCTCTATAGCAAATCTCTAGTGTGGTATTGACACATCTGTGAGTGCAGGGGGCTGGCTGCATGTGTTCCTTTAGTCTTGGACACAAGGCAAAGGGTCTTCACCTTTACCCAATTCCAGTGGCTCTGGCACAATGATTATTGACTTTTTTCAGAATAAAAATAATAATATAATTTTCCAAGAACTTTGTGCAAGAATCATTTCTCCAGGTGCAGTGAAAGGAGGGCAGATAGGAAAATGCCCTTCTCAGGGTTGTCCTTGTGGCTCCTGCCCTCTCCTCACTGACACCACAGCTCTCCCCAGCAATCCTCTGTGGCTTTGCCTTCAGTGAATCCCAAACAAGGTTTTTCAGAAAAAAAAGGGGAAAAAAAAAGTATTGCTGCTTCTTCTTGTAATATTTTTCCTCTCTCTCTCTCCCCCCCCTGTTTCTCCTTAAAAATATTTACTTTCAAAAATTCCATTCCTGCAGAGATTCCTCCTGAGCTCTGAGGTCTCTGGACTCCACCCTCCTCTTCTCCAGTCAGAAAAACTGAGTCTCGATGTGTCTTTGGTTAAAAAAAAAAAATTAAAAAATAGCACAAAGAAAGAACACACAACCCAGTGTGATCCCATTCCACCCTGTGGACGCCTGATGAGAGGGTGTCTGTGGAAGAAGGAAGCATCAGAGACGAGCTGTCTGCTCTGGAAGCCGAGGTCTCCGCTCCGTCCCGCCGCTCTCCTCTCTCATACGGTGGTCGCTGGCCCGTACTGGAGCACCAGAGGGGACGTCTCCTTGATGCGCACCAGGAACCGCCCCTCGGGCTGGCTGGTGTGGAGGGACAGAGGCAAGAAGTCATCGGGGAGCCACCGCTCGCTCTCGTTGGCAGCGAACACCAGCCCGAAGTGCTCCAGCTGCTCCTCGCCGTAGCAGACGGCGGCTGAGGCGCCCAGCATGTCCCGTGCGATGCCGTTCATCTCCAGCACCACCAGCTTCACCACCTCACTGGCAGGCGTCTGGCTGGTGATGTGCAGCTGTGGAGAGAGAGATGGCACAGATGGAGAGATGGGAGAGATGGATGGTAAGGGGGAGGAATGAGGAGGAACAGGGGCCAGAGGCAGCGGACGGTGTGGAGGAATGGTGAGGGTGGAGGAACAGCTGCCCAGAGGTGCCTGTGAGCAGTGCTGCCCGTGGCAGCAGCCTGGCACACAGCCATGGGCACACCATGCCGAGGGAATGCCCAAGGGGTGCCCCTGCATGCCAGGGCCCAAACTTATGGACTACTCTCTGCCTCTACTCCTGTTTCCAAGCCCTTGCCACTCAACCCTTGCATGTGTCACCTACAGCTCTGCTGAGCCTGCCCCACTATCTCATCACCTGGAGTTGGAGAGGGACAGTCCCTGTCGTGCTCCTGATACCACGGAGGGATCTGTGTGAAGTCCCTCTTGTGAGCAGGGTCCAGACCCTCAGACCAGCTGGATCACAACAGCTCTGCCAAACTACAACTGAAACCTCTTTGGAACATGGCAATAAATTTCATCCCGTGCGCAAGCTTGGGGTTCTCCCACCAACAGCTACCCTTGCCCTCTGCTTCCCAGGGGACAGCCCTGTGAATCCCAAATGCTGTCAAGAAAATGAGCTCATCAGGGCCCTGGTTGCTAATGCTGGGAGCTTCAAAGGCTCCAAGGCAGGACATCCATCCTCACCCAGGCAAAGCAACATTTCCTTTGGCACATCTGTGAGGGCTTGCAGAGCGCCAGGAGTGCTGCCCCGGCAGGGTGGTCCCAGCCCTGGGCCCACGTGAGCACTGCCAGCCCTGAACAGCCATGGCAGGGCTCAGCCATTTACACCAGGAGAACATTGTAAAATGCTTTCAAGCAGGCGTGTCCAAAGCTTTGCAACTTCAAAAGCTACATGGGCAGCCCGCCAAGAACCTGAGGGCTGTGCTTCAGTTCCACAGAAATCTATGGGCATTCCTCAAATGGAAAATAATCCAGCGAGGCAGAGTTGTCTCTGCTAGGATGTCCCAGCTGGGTGCAGAGACACTGGCTAACAAACGTCCCCAGCAATAAACCAATCAGCCTGTTGGCACTGTTCTTCCTCTGCCATTCCTTTAGGGTTGCTTTCAACCCATACCAGTCATGATTTAATGATTTTCTGCTCCACCATCCTCTGTCCTGGGATTGAGGAATGTTTCAGAAAGGAAACTTCAACGGGGAAGCATCTCCGTGGCTGGGATCAAAGGAGGCCACAAAGCCAGAGAGGCACCTGCCCAAGATGTCCTGGGGGATGGTCCTCTATGGGGGACCCCACCTGGAGCAGGTGTGAGTGATCAGAGCTGGTGGGGTCAGCTCTTGGCAGCAGAGCCCTCATGGAAAGGAGTCAGGTCACACAGCTGCTCCAGCATAGTCTGGAGGAGCATGGAAAGAGCTCTGCCTGCTGCCCCAGCTGGAACTGGAGTGGGTTCTGCCACTGGAATTGCCAGAGGCTGGAGACAAAAAGCTCCTGCTCTCCTTTCCCTAATGAGGAAGGCTGGAGCAGAGACGACACACCTAGGAAGGGGAGGCTGTCGGAGGAGCATGGCCAGGGCAGGGGTGACAGCTGAATTTTTGCCTGGAAGTATGAAGTGTTTGAACACATCATCACATCAGGATGTGGCAAGGATGTGGCAAGGACACTATCTTAAACAATGGATTCAGTTATTATATCAGTAGCTCAGATATATCAAGGAAGATTTGGATTTTTGCTAATACACTGCTATTTTGGCTTTTTCCTCCCTATTAGAACAGTCAGGTTTTCTTCTCTCTTTATTTTAAACAAAACTAAAAAAAAAAAAAAACAAAAAAAACCTAACCAAAATAAACCCCCAAAGAACACAAAAAAAAAAAAAAAAACCCCAAACCAAACCAAACCAAAACAAACCCCAAAAAATCGAGAAAAAAAACAAAAAACCCCCCAAAAAGTGTCCTTTGCTCTGCCTGCCCACACTGGGTGGCACCAAGCTACTGTCACCTGCTGAACCACAGACCAAGAGATAAACTTCAGCCCCACTGCCTTGTCCCCAAAATTCACTATGTATGGCCCTGGCTCATCCTTCTGCAGCAGCAGCCATCGCTGTCCTACCAGGAGCCTCATCTACAGCAGGCACAGAGGGAGTCAGGGCAGGAGTGCTGCGGGTCTCCAGGGGACCTCACCCCTGGGATGGTGAAGGATGGGGAGGGCAGTGCCAGGTGTGGGGCACAGGAGCCCTGCTGCCTCTGTCCCCATCCTGCCAGCCCTGTCCCTCCGGGCACGGCAGAGCCGCTCTGCCACCCGTGACAGGCTCCGGTACCTTGACACTGGTCTCTTTGGAGAGTCCCGTTTCGTACTGAGGGCACACCCTCAAGGTGACAGAGCCCGGCTTCTTCCCTTGGTCGGCCAAGCCCCCAGGCTGCTCTGGCTGCTGCTCTGGCAAGCCCTGAGTCCACTCATCGGAGCCGCGGCGGCCCCGGCGGCGCTCGGGGCTGGGTGTGGAGCCAGGCCCCAGCCGGAGCGGCCCGCAGGGGCCCGTGCTCCTGCTCTCGGCCGGGGAGCTGTCCACGGAGCCGGGGCAGGACTTCCTCGGGGCAGGGCAGTGGGGCTTGGGGAAGTCCAGGCTGCTGGTCCGGACGCAGTACGCCTGTCGCTTCTCGGTGATGCGCAGCAGCTCGATCTGCCGGCTGGGCAGGACAAAGTCACTGTCATAGAGCTTGGCCGGTGGCCGGGGCTCCTCGGGCGGGGGCGGCACTGCGGGTGGGGTCTGGAGCTCGTGGCTCTGCAGGACGTCGGGGGCACTGTCCCGCAGGGTGCGGGCCGCCCTCCGGCTGCAGCACTCGGGCCCTGTGGTGGAGCACACCAGGTCCAGCTCCTTCGGGCTCTGCGCCCGGCTGGAGTCGTAGTCACTGTCGGTGGCCAGGAACACCTCCGAGGAGCCCTCCTCGTCCGACAGGCCGTGCGAGTCTGCCGGGGGGAGAGCAACAAAGAGCGGCTCAGCCTGAGTGTGGAATCCCCCGCTGAGGTGGAATCCAGGGAAGCCTCTGAGGTTCACCCCCTTGTGACACACCTGAGGTGCTCGCACGGCACAGGCAGGGCGGGTCTGCCCTGCGCGTCCAGGCTCCGGCCCTGCCGGCACCTTGGGCACAGCCACCCCGGACCCACCGAGCCCGGGCAGCCCCTGAGCCCCCAGGCAGGAGCTCGGGTCCCTACCGGAGTTGAGCTTGCGGCTGGTCTCTGGTGAGAGCACTGGCGATGGAAGGTAGTCAAGGTGGGACGAGGAGGATCGGGTTTTCTCCTTCGCTGCTCCCCCAGCCTCGCTGAGGAAGCCGCTGAGAGAGATCCCACAGGAGGGCTGCTTGTAGCGGGCGTGCTGCAGGACATCCATGATCCAGCGCATCTCTCGCCAGATTTCCTCCATTTGCTGCCAACAGAGGAAATGGAGGAGCCCTTTCACACAGTAAACCACAGCAAGAAAGTCCCATGGCAAAACACAGAGTCTGTACACATACATCTCCCCAGTGCTCTGGGGGAATCCCTGAGCTGGGAAATGCAAAGAAAGTGCTCTCAGGCAGGAGGAGGACGCAGCTGCTGGTTCAGCAGGGGTGCTGGGGACAGGAGTAGTGTGGGATGCTCTTTCGCAAGTCCATCCTAAAATGCACTTGCAGACCTTCTTCTAGCAAAGAGAGCATGTGCACTTTGGGTGTCTCCTTGGGATTTTTAATGTGATCATTGCAGTAAGAAGTTGCTCGATAAAGCAACTGCAGCCTCGAGAAGAGGAGGCTCCAGGGACACCTCAGAGTCCCTTCCAGTGCCTAAAGGGGCTCCAGGGAGAGCTGGAGAGGGAACTGGGACAAGGGATGGAGGGATGGGACAAGGGCCTGTAGTGACAGGACAAGGGTGAATGGCTTCCCACTGCCAGGGGGCAGGATTAGATGGGATATTGGGAAGGAATTGTTCCATGTGAGGGGAGGCCCTGGCACAGGGTGCCCAGAGAAGCTGTGACTGCCCCTGGATCCCTGGAAGTGTGCAAGGCCAGGCTGGACATGGCTTGGAGCAACGGGGGAAAGTGGAAGGTGGAACTGGATGAGGTTTAATATCTGTTCCAACCCAAACCATTCAATGAATCTATGCAAGAGACCAGACTGCTGCTACCCATCAGCAACATCAGAGAAATCCCCCCAGGGCTACCAAGACCAGGGAACAGCCTGGGTGCAGATGCTGCTGCCTGAGTCCTGGCAGGTCAGGGGCACTGTTGAGCCTCCTCCCACCCCATACCTGGATGTAGTCCTGAACCTGCTGGTGCCTCTGCTTGGCAGTGGTGAGCTCGGCATCGGAGAAAGCCTCCCTGAGGCTCTGCTGGGACAGGAGTGACTCCAGCTCCAGCAGGGCGGACACCTGGCAGTACTGTGTGATGAACTCCCGGCTGTACGTGAAGAAGTGGACTGAGAGAGGAAACAAGAGAGGGGGGATGAAAAACATGAGGTCCCATGCTATGGATGCCCTACAGCCTCCTCCCTATCACCCAAGATGAGGAGGCAACACTGTCCATTAGTCCACCTGGACAGCCCTCAGTACATCCCTCCATGCCTCCTCCCCAGGGAGGGAGGGACCTCCAGGCACCCCACACTGCCCAGCCCAACTCAGGAGCCTCAGAGGACAAGGGGACCAGCAAAGTTGGGTTTTGGCATTCCCTCTCCTCACCCAGCTCAAAGATCTGCAGTGGCAGTGTGAGGAAGCCAGAGCGAGGGGTGTAGGGGTTGTTCTGGCCCGGAGCGGTGCAGACGTCGTCTGACGGAGGCAGCAGCAGCAGGAAGGAGACCTGATCCCCAAAGTCCAGCACCTCTTGGCTGTACAGACGGAAGTCTTTGGCCTGCAAGAAGATAGTGCAGGTAGCAGCTGCACATATCACCTGGTGGGGCCTCTGCCCAGTCCTCATGCACGGAGTAGTCCTCAGGGACCACCTGCAGCCAGGGGACTCTGCACCTTCAGCATATAACCGGAGGCTCCTTGCTTCTGGAATAATCTGCATAATCTCATCACTTTTTCTCTAATTTTTCCTAAAAGTTTCAAAACTTCTGGTCAAAGTCACCACAGCAGGGTGTTGAAAACGTGCCACCAGAGATGGTTCAGTGATGAGCAGGGAGGTGCCCTCCCAGCTGCCCAGCCAGAAGCACATACCTGTCATTGGGGCTGCTGGGTTGCTTCCCAGCAGATACTTGGCATGATGGAAGAAAGTTTCTCCCCATGCAGTCTGGCCCCAGGGGCTGCACTCCAGCCCAGCACTGGCCAGGGATCAGCCTGCTTTGGAGGGGCAGAGTTGGGCTGGTCTCGTGCTGCCCAGGACCAAACCACTGGCAGCAGTAACAACCCAGATTTGCTCTTGTTGCTTTGGGGGTACAGCGTGGGAAGGACAAACAGCTCCTGTGGACACTGACCCTGGGCAGGGCAGACTCACCGCTCACCTTTTGTTTGCACAGCACTAAAATCTGGGTGCTCCAGCTTCACAAGGAGACCCAGACATGCAGCACCTGCTGCAACCACCAGCACCCACCTGCTGCAACCACCAGCACTGTGCTCACAGCCCCATCCCCTCCCTCTGCCCAGACCTTGGCTCCTGCCTCTACCTCTTGCAGTGGGATGTTCACCAGGGTCATCAGCTCCTTGATGGCCACTTGGAGCTCCTGAAACAAGGGGTTCTGGGACCTGTCAGTCTCTGGCTCTGTGGGAACAGGCTCCTCCACGCTGGCCATCTTCTGCAGCCACTCCCACTCCTCTCTGCAGAATGCCAGAGACAGACAGGTGAAGGAGGGAGCAGTTTGGGTGGACGTGGATACAATTTCTCTGAGAGCTGTGTTTGCTTGGCTGTTCCTCTCCCAGTCAGTGCAGCATCCCCAGAGGTTTGGGAGAGGTGGAGGTAGAGAGGGAACTTGGTTTGCTCTAGGCTGAATCAGAATCACAGAATATGCTGAGGTGGATGGGACCCACAAGGATTGTCGAGTTCAGCCCTGACCCCAGGACACCCTAACAACCCCACCCTGTGCCTGAGAGCGCTGCACAGCAGGGATAGGAGGGAATATTACACTGCTGCTGAAGCAGGAGGTGATGGATGCTGTTAGCCTGTGTGGGACACAGCAGCCTGGCTGGGACAGGGGGTCTCACCATCCCCTGCAAATCCTACCTGGAGATGTTGGGGTTGGAGCGGATCTTGACGTGGCACAGGATGTTGGGGAGCTGCTCTGGCACCAGCACTCGGATCTGATCCACGGCACTGCACAGCTTCAAGTAGCCCAGGTAGAGGCCCGGGGAGAGGGCATGGCTGCTCCGCTGGTGATAAGCCAGCTTGTCCTGGGAACAAAGACACTGCTGGACTGAGCAAGTCCTCACAGCAGGGCTTGTGCTGATGCTGTAGCACAGCCAGTCCAGCTGGAGAAGGGGAGCGGCACAGGAAGACAACCTGATGCTGCCAGGTCGAATCTGGCACCATCTGGATGCCTCCCCTTGAAACAACAGGAGTTTTGGAGGCTGGCTGGGCTCTGCTCCCCCTCTGCTGTGACCTTTCCAGGCCGAGGGGGAGCAGGGAGCACTGGTGTTTCCCAGGGGAGCCCCAGCACAGACCTGCAGGGAGATGAGCAGTGTGTCCAGAGCTGTGGGCTCCTCGGGGGAGGACACGGACTTGCGGCCGCTCTGCAGCTTGCAGATGGGCACCCAGCGGACGCTCTCGAAGGTCTGGTTGGTCTTCACCTCCTTCAGGGTGACGATGAGGATGTTGCCCTGTTTGTCTTTGATGGGCTCAAAGAAGACCTGCCCCAGGTCCTGGATGCCCAGCAGCCCCTGTGTGACAGGGTGGGAAGGCAGGAGAAAGCAGAGGGTCAGGGGACATCCCGGAGGCATGGTGGGTCTGGGCAGCTGAGATGTGCCTGCAGCTGCCTGCTGGAAACCAGTCTGCCCAGAACAGCACCCTGATGGTCCCCAGTCCCTCTGCAGGAGACTGCCATGACACCTGGCACCTCACTGACCCATGGCTGGAGTCCTGCCAGGGGGGATGAGGCAGGGACACGCAGTCATGGCCAGCAGATCCTGGGTTTATCTGACTGTGGTACATCTGCATGCTGCTCCCAAGGGAGCTCAGACTCCAGCATCCCACCTAAAGCGTTTGTTCCCCCCCAGGCTGACCCTCACCTGCATCTGTGAGATGGCCAGCAGCATCTTGAAGCGCGTCTGCAGGATGCAGGAGCAGGAGGACTGGGACACGGTGACACACTGCCGCAGCCACAGGATCTCGTCCCACATGCATGACACCTGCACACACCAGAGTGTCACTGCTGCTGCAGCTGGGGCACACCAGGGAGTTTTGGGGAAGTTGTTGGCCTCTCTCAGCTGGGTTAGGAATGTGCATGAGCATGCAGCACCTCTCAGCAGGGGTGCAAACAAATCCCTGTGCCACAGGCACTGAGATGCCTCCAGAGCCTGCACCCGAGGGCAGCCCTGAGCCATGTCCACTCAGACATCCATCTTCATCCAGGACTGAAACCTTAAGCTTGTATTCAAGTTGGCCAAGATCGGGAGGGAGAAGAAAACACTCTCCATCAGTAGATAAGGATCACCCAGCAAATTATTTTGGTCCTGAGCTGCCCACAAGTCTGCTGACATCAGAGGAGCTGGCAGCTGCTCCCTGTGCATCCTACAGCAGAGGCAGAGATGCCATGGCAGGATGCTGAGGGGAAGCAGTTCAACAGCCACTGACATCCCCATGGAGAGGCAGTGCCACCCACTCTGGCACACAGCCTGCTCAGTGTTGCTCGGTCTGTCGCCCATCTTTGAGCTTCCAGAGGTTGGGATGAAATGCCATTCCCTGGTCTGTGCTGAACCCCAGCAAGAAGCAAGTCCATGGGCTGCCTGCACTGCCAAGCCCCAGTGTCCAGGCTGGAGGGGCAGAAGTGTTTCCTGATGCCTGCCTGGCTCACCTTGGCACTCCTGGCCCTCTGCCCAAGCACAGAGTCCCTCAGCCACCCACCTTGGTGAGCCAGAGGAAATCCTGCATGAGCAGGCAGGAGTAGGTGTCATCAATCTCCACCACGGGGATCTGGTCTTCGTGGGTCACCAGGATGTTGTCATCCTTGTAGAAGATGGCTGTCAGGTAGAGGCCCCTGCATGGGAGAGAAGAGAGACTTCAGAGCCGCCCCAGATGCCAGCTCCATCTCCCAGAGGGTCTCTTTCCTGGGAGAAGAGGAGATGTCCCGTCCCCACTTCTCTCCAACAGCCCGTGGCAGAAGAGGCTTGTGGCTGGTATGGGAGCAGGAACAGGAACCCAACGTGTCCCAGCAGATACCACAGCCCATGACCCTGCAGCACATGGGACAGAGATGGGCCAGACTGTGCAGGGAACACTCTGGGTCTGGACAAGGTGGGGTGCCAGGTGAGCCTCAGAGGTGATGCAGGGATCTGGGCTTCAGCACAGCTTGGCCAGTTCAAATAGAGACACCAAGAGAGCCTCTCTGGGCCGTGGGACTCATCTCCACTGACACCACCAGCTCACTCCCCGTGCAGACCCTGCTCTAAGCACCCCCAGCCCCCAGCGTGCAAGCACAGCTCTCAGGATGGGCAGCTCTGCAGCCCTGCTGGGACAGGGGATCTCACCATCCCCGTGCACCAGCCTCTCACCGCTTCAGTGTCTTGAGAAACTTGCTGCCAGGGTGGAAGAGGTGCTTGAGGCTCTTGGAGACTGAATGCTTTCTGCTCTGGGGCTGGTTCTTGCAGGGCTCTGTGGAGCAGAGAGCAGAGGATGCTGCAGCAGGAGATGAAGAGCTGATACCAACCCATTGGGAAGGCTCTGCTGAGGTCTCCACTGCCTGAGCTGTCTCCCTGCTCTTCACATCCACGGCACAGAGCTGTTCCTGCACCACCCAGCTCTGCAGATCACACCACAGCCCCCGGGACTCAGCTGCCCCCGCCCCAGCCTCCGTGGAGCACTGTGCTGTGGGCTCACCGTGGCAAATGCAGTGCTGGTGGACGGTCTTCACCTGGCCCAGGAGATGGTCCAGAGCCTCAGCCTGTCCCCTCCGCCGCGGCGCCCGCCCGTCGTACTCGCGCCAGTCTGTGGGGACACAACAGCGTCACCCCGGCACCCTCTGCCCGTGTGGGGGCACCCTCTGGGGCACAAGGGTTCCCATCCCCTCCTCCCACATCCCCTGGGTGTCCCCCTCATGCCACAGCATGGCAGCAGTTGTCGGTGCTGGGCACTTCTGGGTGTGCTGGGCGATCCCCAGCTTTGTGCCCCTCTTCCCAGGAACACCCAGCTCTGCACAGCACCCCGTGGCCACCAGCCTCCCCACAGCATGGCAGGGACACACCAGGGGGAAGGAACAAGGTTCTGTCTGTTGCTGCTACACTTCACTGGCCTTAAAAAATAAAATTCTTTCCAGTCTCTTCCTCCAGGTCTTTCCCAGTTACTCCAGATGAGCGCTGGAAGCCGGGCTTACCTCGACAAACACATAAATAAACTCCTGCCAGCTCCACCCGCTGTGGGACAGCAGCAGGACCCTGAGCAGGGCTGGGGACCTGCTGGCACTTCTCCCTCAACTTTATATTAATTACTTTAAACACCCCATGTCCTGCCCGCTGCTGTTTTCCATGGAAAGTTCAGCTCTGTTAACTTTGGCTAGAACTTGCCGCTATTTTTAGTAGCTTTAAAAACACCCAGGGAGGTGCCTGACCATATTCTGCTGGGCCAGGGAGGGATCTCTACTAAAGGGAGAAATATTACTGGCAATAAAAATAAATAAACCCCACTCCTGTCTGATTCACTTCAGCCACACTCAATTGATGCCACCTGGATCTTGGTCACAGGGAATGTGACCTGTGTGAGGTGGCAAATGGGCTTTAAAGTGGGTGCAAACATGACAGGGACAAGATAACGCCACGGTAGTAGACTGCTGTGCCCTTGCTGTGTGCATTCCTAGACATGCAAATGGATTTTGGTGATTTCAGTGCTCTATGGATCTGCAGCCAGAGCTGTGTGCACGGTGCTGCACTTCTCTGACCCATTACTGTTCATCTCCATCTGTTCCCAGTGCCCTCCCTGCTCCCAGGAGGAGCAGCCCTGATCCCTGGGTGTCTGCAGCATGGTGGGACAGGATGTGCTTCCATGGCCTGATTCTTGGGACAAGCTCAGCCTCCCAGAGGGCTGCTCCTTACTCATTTACAGCACCAGTCCCATGGGACACCACACAGGCACCTGTTTTGGGACTGGTGACAAGTGGCAAAAGCCAATCTGGAGCCCCCTTAGTCCTGAACTTCACCTTTGGGCTGCTCCTTCCAGCTCACTCCTCCTGGCCCTTCTCCACCCAGCCCCCTGGGGTGCCTTGTGTGACACTTGTGGCTGTTTCCTGACACTTTTCCTGGGGTCAGCATGGGGAGGAGAGTGCTGACAGCCCAGAGCTGGTCTCTGTTGAGGCTTGTGACCCCCATCCATGCCAGGGAATGCAGGTCCTTGGGTCTGGGCTGGATGGGAGAGACCATGTGGTGGCACAGAGTGGGAGGCCACTGCCACCCAGGACCCCTCTGAGTCCTGGCTCTTTGCCACCTCCCAGCTTCCTCCATGGGATGAGCTGATCCAGGTGGCCTGAAATGGCTCAGACTTTCCCAGGTGGCAAGGGTAATTCAAGGCTGAAAACTCATTGTTTGGCAAAGCACCTGTTGGCTGCAGGCAGCATCCCAGACCACCAGGCACAGCCTCCCTGCCCGGCCTGAGACTCCAAACTCTGCCCCTGGCTCCACTTGCTCCCATCCCAGCAGTGAGAGGGACCCCTGGATGGCACAGGGGGCTGTCCTGTCCCCCCTGCCCCATGCTGGCTGCCGAGGGGGTGTTCTCAGAGGTACTCACTGGAAGGGATGGCGAAGGGGGGCGTGGAGGCTTGCGGGGGACCCCAGCCCTTCATGTTGTAGGCAGACACGCGGACGTGGTATGCTGTGCCCTGCAAGGAGAGCAGCACACTCAGCACACCCCACCTCTCCCAGCTTGGCAGCTGAGGCAAGGAGGATGTCCCCCAGCCCACTGCTCCAGTACAGCATGAGGAGCTCTCAGCTGGGAGCCCACAGCCCAGGTCACTGGCTCTCACCTCCCCTCCTGTGCAAAGTCCTTGTTATGAGGCACTAGAGAATCCCTGTGGCCCTGCTGGGTGAGTTCGGGGCACACAGAGGAAGGACTGGACATTGCAAATGTCCCTTGCCAGAGATGCTCCAGCCAGAAAGACTCAGTGCTCCTGCAGGTTGGGGTGCTGGTGATCCCCTGGGACATGTAAGGATCCAGCCCCTGGAGACAGGGAGCCAGCCCAGCACTGTCAAGAGCTTGTAGCACAGTGACAGTGATTAAAACCTCTGATTAAAGCCCAGCCAAGCTGCCAGATGTTGCCAGGCCTCCAGACACTCATGAAGGTGACAGGAGCCTGTGAAGCAGCTCTGCGAGTGTGATTGATGGGCTTGGAGCAGTTCCTTGCAGTGATGCTGCTCCAGGCTCCGCTTGAGCCCCCCCTGCCACACTACGGGCAGCCCTGACAGCGCTCCTGGGCTCAGCACTGCTGCTGGTCCTCAGCCCCTCTCACCTCACCTCACCTCACCTCACCAAGGAGGTTCTCTGCTCCTCAAATCAGTGCTCCCTGCCTGCCTACCCCTGCTAAGGCTGACCCCATTTATCCCAGCATCTGCCCGTGTTCCCATCCTGAGCTCCATCCCACCACAGTCCCCATGTCCCTGGTGCCAGCCCAGGCATGGCTCCTGCAGTTCTGAGGGAGATAAAACGGCAGGGAGCCACAGTCCCACCAGCCATGACCTTGCTGAGCTCCCAAAGATGAAGATGGGGCTGGTCCCACCTCTTGGTGACATTGGGGCTGGGCCGAGGGGTTGGATGTGCAGGTGGCAGAGGGCTGAGCCACTGATTTACTGCCCAGAAGAGCCTGGGTGGAGACAGGAGTAGGGAGGGGGACGGAGGATAAATCAGTGTTGAGTGAATGGGCCCATTCTGCCTGTCACTGCAGAGTCCCCAGGCACCCTCTCAGGGAGGTGCCCCACTGTCAGGGGCTGCAGCCATGTGGGGACAGACAGATGCTTCTCCCAGCCCCCCAGTCTTGACTCTGCCCAGGCTGTGCCCATGGCACACAGCGTGGCACAATCCTATTGCTCCTGCTCAAAACAATCATAGAAACAAAGAACCATTACGGTTGGAAAAGGCATCTAGGATCACTGAGTCCAACCACTGCCAAGGCCACCACTAAACCATGTCCCCAGGTACCAAATACACATCTTCTGAACATTTCCAGGGATGATGACTCCACCACTGCTCTGGGCAGCCTGTGGCAGTGGCTGATCCCCTCCTCATGGGCTGCACTATGGCCTTTTCCCAGCTGTGGGCTCTCCCTGCTGAGCCCTGCCGCTGTGGGCACTCACCGACACCAGCCCCTGGATGGTGAAGTGCAGGTCCTTCAGCTTGTCAATCACAGCTTCTCCCAGCAGTGGTGAGAAGGTAGGGGAGCAGCTCCACTCCACTGCAAGGACAGAGACCCCAATGTGCCATGAGGCCCTGGAGTGGGGACAGGCCACCAGGGCTGGGGCAGCATGTCACAGAGAGCAGCTGCAGGGGGACTGCAGACAGCACAGGAGATGGAGGCAGCGGAGTGCAGGCATGGAAAAGGTGATTCATAGAGGGGGGAAGGTCATGGGGAGCTGCTGTCCTCACCAAGCCACATAAGATGGGTCAGCACCTTTAATTGGTGGCTCAGAAGTGGGGGATGGAAGAAATTCTTCCAGAAGCCAAAAATATCTGGTTTAGGTGGTGAGGGGTGCATAACAACAAAGTCTTCCCAGTGTGCAGGATGAGGGGGCAGCCAACAAGCAACACCCCAAGTTTTGCCTTGGTGCAGGATGATGTTTGGTCTAGCTCAGAGCATTTGGGTGGTGGCCATGCTGTCCAGCAACTGTGGCTTCCTCTGTCCTCCAGCATAAAAGTGGCCTGACTGGGGCTTGGCAGCACTGCCCATGGCTCTGTTGCGTTGACATGGGGTGCAAGGCACCTGCTGTGGCTGTGTGACCCTGCCCTGCTGCAGGCATCCCCGTCCTTACCTTTGTACTTGGTGACAACGGCTGCGTTGACACTCAGGGGCTCCCAGAAGGTCACCTGCAATGAGGTGCTGCTGGCCACAGAGAGGTGGACGCTGCTGGGGGCATCTGGCACTCCTGGGGACAGAGAGGGCAGGGAGTGCTACAGCCATGATGGTCACTCTGAACCTCCCTGTGTCCCTCTGGGGCCCCTCCCCAGTCGCAGGGACGTATTCCCTGATGGAACATGTTCTCCCCTCCATGCACCCACACTGCAAGTCCGGGCCTCAGGGTGCAGGTGATGGGTGCCGGTGCCATGCACAGCCCCACTCCTTTCCCCGGAGCAGGGACAGCCCCAGCCCCGCTGCGGTCACTCACGGGCATGCTCAAACCCTGCCTTCATGCGCTTGTACAGCCGGAACCGCCACTCCCAGGCCTTGAGCTGCTTCTCCTTCTCGGAGCAGTCAGCGTTGGGCGCCTCGTTCACCACCTGCGCCATCAGCTCGTTGACGCGCTGCTCCGCCTCCCGCACCAGCGTGGAGAGGTGCAGCGAGCGGCTCTCCAGGCTCACAACTGTGGCAGAGTGCACATGGCCACGGGCCCAGGAGGAAAGGGAGGAGAAGGTGGTTAGGGCAAGCTCTGCCTCTGCTGGCAAAGAATCCCCACCCTGAGACCCCATCCTCCTCGCTGTGTCCCGGTCCTGGGGTCTGATTGAGTGCATGGTTCCCCTGCAGCCCTGCTGCAGCCTGCACTGGTGTCCCAGAGCCCAGTGATCACCTCCCCACCTGCATCCAATGCCTGGGATGCTCCACTGCACCATGCTGCAGACCCAGGTGATGGGCACAGCACGACTCCTGTCCCAACTCACAGTGTGGGCTCTCCTTCGCTCCCGCCTGCAGCAGGGCCCTGGCGATGGGAGCATTGTTGGTCATGATGGCGATGTCCAGGGGCAGGAGCCCCTCACTGTTGGGGGTGTTGAGGTCCAGCTCCTCAGGGCTATAGTGCTTCAGCATCTCCTGCACCCTGTCAAGATCCTGCAGTTCCACGGCCTCAAAGAGCGCAGCATTGCTCTGGAACTGGGTGAAAGGAGAAATGCAGCTGGGCTGAGCATGGGGCACCCTCTTCCATCCCACCACATACCCTGGACCCTCACTAGCACCCCATGAACCCAAGCAGGGAGAGGGTGCCCTCATCCCAAGGGCTTGCAAGCATCAGCTCTTTGCAGACACATCTGGATGATGCCAAGCAAACACCTGGACCACCTCCAACTGAACTTGCTACAGCTTCACTTAACACAATCTTGTGCTCCCACCCAGGTTCCAGCACCGCCCACACAGGGACCCTCTGTCCCCACCTGGATGGAGCCAGCCCCCACAGACCCTCTGTCCCCACCTGGATGGAGCCAGCAGGCACTGACCAGGTAGGACTTGCGGAGCTTCTCCTTCTCACCCCGTCCCACCAGGCTGCCCTCGTCGAAGGAGGTGTAGTTGACGCGGAATTTCCCGGACAGGTTTCGGTAGAGCCTCTTGGCTGCGTTTGGTGAGGAAGGGCCTGGTGGCTTCCTGGCCTGCGCCAGCTGCAGGTCCCGCATCTGCTGGGTCATTTTAGGGGAGGATGACCTGGGGAAAAAGCCAGGAGGGAAATGAGGCATGGAGGATGTGCCAGAAAGGCAGAGGCACATCTGTACTGTCAGGACCAAGACAGGAATCGGAGAGCCAGAGCACTCCCAGGCAGCACCAATGTGAGTGGCTGCAAGGTGAACGCCAGTGCTAGCAATGCCCTCACCCATCTGTTTTCAGCTGAGGCAGATCTGTTCCTGGCTGCTGCCCTGCAGGGGTGCCAAGAGGCTCATATGATCCCTGCAGGTAAGACATTTCCTTCCAGACACAAGCTGGGATGCCCAAAGCAACCTCAGGCTGCTCAACTCTACAACTGGTCTGGATCCATCCCAGCAGGACAATCTCTCCACACACCCATTCTCCACCATCCAGCTCCTACAGAGATGGGCTGCCTCATCCAGAGATGCCCAGCCCCCTCAGCAGTGGAGGCTGCAGGGCCTGGCAGCCTCCAGACCTGTGCTGGGTGATTGCTGCCCATCACCATTGGCCTGGGATAGTCTCGTGTACCCTCTCCACACCCACTCTTCTGCAGGAACCCTGCACTTAGCACCATCCCTCAGCTCTTTTTGGTACATGACTTGTCTCGGAGTTGTTATTCTAGCAAAGGGCATTCTCTGGAAGTGAAGTGGGAGCAGGGAACATTAAGGGCCATTTCTAAGGGCATCCAGACAATGCCAGGTCCTGATGGGGACCAGTGACCCCAGTCTTCTGCTCACCAAGAGATCCTGGCTTCACAGCTGCTCCTTACCTTTTCCATCTATTAACCTACAAAATCTTTTCTCCTCTCTGATTATAGAATCACAGACTCGTTTGGGTTGGAAGGGACCTTGAAGACCATCTAGCTCCAATGCCCTGCCACTGGGACATGATTTTGATTCTTACTTTCAAGATCTACCAGTCACAAGGAAAGCTAGTGTCTTTTCTGGGGCTCTCTAGAGTGGGAGCTATTCCTTTCCCTGCAGTCAGGGAAAAGGAACAGCTCTCCTGTCTCCATCAAGACCTCTTCCCACCAGTCAAAATCCCTGGCTTTGCATGAGTGTGGCCTTGTTGCTGTGTGGGGCTTTTGCCCATGAGTCATCCCCTGCGGCATGGAGGGTTTCCACTGCGTCAAACATCTGATCCCCTTCTTGCTGGAGCTCTGGCACAGTTCCCAGAGAGGAGCATCAGGTATAAGGAGCATTTAGCATGGCTACACTTAACACAGTTTCTCTCAGTTTTGGCCCCGTCCCCCTGTGTATAAGTTCAGATATTTAGGGGCAAAGTCTTCCTCCCCTTGCTTTATGGGTTAAATATCAAGTGTGATAAAAGCATGGCATTTGGCTGAAGGTCATGCCAGAGCAGCCCAGCGAGGCTGTGCCTGGGGTAAGGATGTTTATAAAGCCATCATCGTGAGACAGGATATTAATAACCCCTCGCTCTGTGCCCTTCGTCGTCCTCATTTCAGATGAGGCACAGGGGGCTGCAGAAGGACTTTAATGATTTTACCTTTTATTACTGTGATATTTAAGAGTGGAAAATGCTGCTAAGGTTGGCTCCTGGCAATCATTCATCTCATCAGCTTCAGCCTGTGGATTTAGAGGGCTCCAGTGTGGCCCAAGCCACAGTGTCAAGTTGCTGCCCTGGGTTGCTCCAGAAATGGACATTATCTGAGCACAGGGCTTCATGGGTCAGACACTGAGCACCAGCCACACCAACCAAAGGCCCATTTGCAAAAGCAGACAACTGTTTTGTCACTTCAGGTGGCAAAGTACCCCTGAGCATCCACATTAGAGTGGGTGAGTCCTACTTGTTCTGGTGGGAAGGGAGGGATCAGCACCCAGGACTGTGTCACCATGGTGGGAGAGACCTGCACAATGCAAGGAAGGGTGGAAAACCAGTCCTACAGTCTCCAGGGCCTGCCTGGCTCTGACATGGTGTCCTCAGCCTGTGCACACCACGTGTCATCATGGACAGGGAGCAGCTCCTGGCACAGCCTCTCCTGAGGGCTCCTCATGCCAAGGGCTCACACACAGCACACACAGCACACAGAGCCTTCTGCAGAGGGCACAGGGCTGGAACAGCAGCACAGCTCTGCTGTCACTGCTGCACAGAGATGAGAGAAAAGCCACCTGTGCCTGAGCAGGCAGAGCTGTTCTGGCAGGAAGAGACAGAAAGACAGGTCCTGACCCTCAGGAGAAGCCTGAGATGCAAAGCACTGCCTGGCATATTTAGGAAAGAGAACTGACTCGAGAGGTTCTCCAGCAAAACCGTGCCCTTTCTCTTGTGTTTAAGAGTTGCCTGCTGCCCAGGTTCTTCTCTCTCCTCTCCTCTCCACCTCCAGCTGCTGTTCAGAGGTGAAGGTGGCTCTTTCAGCAGGCTCATCAACAAGACTTGTAATTCCACTGCAGCTCCCCTCAAAGGAGGCAACAACGCTCTCCCACACAGAAGGCTCTGCCCTCCATGGAAGCTGGAGCTTGTAACAGATCCCTGCTCCATCCGTGCCTGCAGAATCAGGGTTTAAAATGGAGTGGTGCTTTGGAGAGAAAGTCATTTGTTCTGCCAATTAAAATACACAGCAAATGACCCAGTGCAGGCAGACTGCACAGCTGGGAGGAAGCTCTCTCAGAGATGGCAGAAACAGAGACAGAGAAATTTCTCACTGTTTTCCCTCCTCTGATTTGCTTTTAATGAGAAGTAGAGATGGAAATTATTCAGTGCTCAGGAGTGAACATCTATGTATATTAAACCAGCTGCCCCAAAGATAAAAGAGTTTCCTGCCCTGTGGTTATGAGTCATCTGGACTTGGTGAAATGGTCTTGATTTATCTACAGCTAAACTTTGCCCTGGAGCAACTGATAGCTGAAAACAACACCTGCAGATGTCCTGCCCTCAGGGGCCAACCAGCCAACACCAGCTCACCCATGGCAAAGCCCCATCCTGCAGGGAGGTGTGGGAGGAGATCCCACCTTCTCTGCCTGAAGAGTCTCAGTGCAGCCAAACTAAATTTATCCCAGCCACAAATGGTTCTTGTTGCTAATTACTGTCCTTCAGTCTGCAAGCAGAGGACAGGTGCTTTGCCTGCCCCAGCAGTTCACTCTCTGTGACCATCAGGGAGGTGATGTGAACATCAGGTTTGCAGTGCCATAAACCCACACACCAGCAAATTCCATCACCCTCTCCATAGAAGAAGCTGAGGTTCTGTGGAAGGATGAGCTGGGACTGGTCAGATCCACCTGGGGTCAGTTCTGGGACTCTCATGGCTGGAGCATGTCCAGAGGAGGGAATGCAGCTGGGAAGGGGCTGGAGCACCAGGAGAGGCTGAGGGAGCTGGAAAGGGGCTCAGCCTGGAGAAAAGGAGACTCAGGGGGCCCTTGTGGCTCAGCACAGCTCCTGACAGGAGGGGACAGCCAGGGGGGTCGGGCTCTGATCCAGGAAACAGGGACAGGACAAGGGGAAATGGCCCCAGGCTGTGCCAGGGGAGGTTTGGACTGGATATCAGGAAAACTTCTTCCCTGAAAGGGTGCTCAGGCACTGGCACAGATGCACAGGGCAGTGGTGGAGTCACCAACCCTTGAGGCATTTAAGAGTGGATGTCGCACTTGGGGACATTGTTTAGTGGTGGCCTTGGCAGTGCTGGGTTAATTGTTGGAATTGATGATCTTAAATGTTTTTTCCAACCTTAGTGATTCTAACTGTGATTCTGTCTAAGGAAACCAATGCAATAGAGGTGGTTTTCTTTTTTTTAAAAAGTACATGAGAATGGATAAGCATAAGGCATCTTCATTTTTTCCCTTCTTCCAGCATCAAACACAAGCAAATCCACTGGGTAGTTTACAATGTGGTTTATGGATATTCTGAATGTTAATGTTTGCAACACTGCAGATCTTGGCCTAGTAAAACATGTTAATAATTGTTGCAATTCCTTGATTTTAAGTGCATTTTGTAGAAAGGCGTAGCCCCTCTGAGTGTCCAGCTGAGAACCAGTCCCTGACAGCCAGGGCTGCTGTGCCCCCTGACAGCAGAGCCAGGGGGCTGGGACAGCCCTGCCCAGCAGGTACCTGGACAGGCAGGGCATGACCACCCTGCCCACAGGTCACCAGGCCAGACATAAGGAAGAAATTTTTTACCATGAGGGTGGGCAGGCCCTGGCACAGGGTACCCAGAGAAGCTGTGGCTGCCCCTGGATCCCTGGCAGTGCCCAAGGCCAGGCTGGATGGGGCTTGGAGCAGCCTGGGACAGTGGAAGGTGTCCCTGCCATGGCAGGGGTGGGATGAGATAAATGATCTTTAAGGTCCCTTCCAACCCAGAGGAGTCCATGATTCCAAGACGTGGCTGGTGGGGGCCAGGGTGGCCATCCCAGAGCCCCCTCAGCACCAGGGGCCTGGCTGGGAACAGCTCCTGTGCCAGCAGTGCTGTGCTGGGGCAGTGCCCTCCCAGCCACACCCCGAGGCTCCGGGTGCCCCCAGGCTGGCTGTGGGAAGGAAAAGCTCCCGGAGCCTGCCCAGGGTGGCAGTGAGAGGGCAGGCTCCAGGCACAGCAGCTGCCATGAGCTCACTCTGCACTGCAGCCCCTGGGGTCAGTGTGGGTGGCTGTCACTGCAGGGACCTGCTCCCACCATTCCCTGATGCAGCAAACAAGGAAGCAGCAGGGCTGTGTGCATGAGAAAAAGGGAGCCTGGAGGACAGGGGATGAAAGGTGCTGATGGCTTTCTAAGGACAAGGCTTGGTATTGGGAGCAGAAGAGGGATTGGGCCCTAGCAGAGTTTGCTGAAGCCTCACAGCTATGTGGATGTTAGTAGTGTGTTAGCACAAGATGCCAGGGATACTCTCCTGAACCATGCTCCAGTTCAGTCCAGAGGGGTATCCAAGGATGGAACAGGAGCAGCCTAAAACCCAGGTATCAGGGGGACACAACCCAGTGCAGCCAAGCTCACCCCAACAGGGAGCTCACAGCAAGAGGTGACCACCACCAAGCACGGGCAGCAGGGCAAGGGTGCAAATCTGCCCCACTCAGGTGAGACC